TACACCAATCTTTGTCTTTTATTCTCTCCATATCTACACCAATCTTTCTCTTTTATTCTCTCCATATCTACACCAATCTTTCTCTTTTTTTCCTCACTCTATCTCTGCCTCTCACTCTCTTTATCGATCAAATCCAGAAACAGGATCGAGTGTTTCAAAGGATATCATCATATCCTATTAAAAATTAAGTAAATGCTTCTAATGTCACAGCAGCAGTTAGTAGATACTCATTAGGATTTTTAAAGTATTGCCATCCTGTGTTCATTAAAATGCAAAGTCATTAGTTTGGTTCCGTTATCGATGGCGTAGACGTTAATTATTCTGAGGCATTAACAAGATGAAATGAATTTGGCAGCATGGTAGCGATGTAATCGATCTCTGTCTCTATTTATCTTTCACCCTTCATCCCTCCAGATCTCCCTCTTCTTCTTTTTATCTCTATCATTTTATCACTTCAGTTCAGTTCTAACTTGCTTCATTGGCTCAACAGAAAAATAACACCCAAAAACATCCAACTAACGCTACCAGCTCTCCTCCTGTTGGTTTGAACACTGATTGGTTGTTTACATTGTAACATTATCAGAGATCAGAGACTAGAAACACATGTTCTACTGAGTCAGTAAAACTTTATTTATACTCTGATGGTTAACGATAAACTGCAGAATTAATCTGAGGTTTACATGCGGGCCAAACCCCGAGGGGGATCAGCACGGTCCGTTACACCTCTAGTCTCGTCCGTGTAACCATGAGTGGTCTAAAGGAGGCTCCAAACTCTTTTCTACTCCTCTGCATCAAACAGCAGCTCACAGTTCACAACTTTCTTGGAGTCACTGGGTTTAGTCCCAGAAAAACAAGGGAGGGACCTCCAAGTGGTCCTCTGGTATTGAACTTTCTGTCCATAATGAACAGCGTGTTCCTACTTAGTCAATACGTGAGTGGTGCCAGAACACCGCGGGCCAAAGATTGATTGATCAGTTGATCATCACTTGGCAGTGAGTGAGCAGAAACAGAGAATACCAGGAAACCCGAATACATCTGGAACTGACAGGCTCCTGTACAGAGGAACTTAAAGTCCCACCTCCAGATGAAAGTTCACAAAAATACCAGAGGTTAAGGGTGTAGAATCACAGCAGATCATGTTGTAAAAAGCTTCCGATACTGAAGCCAGGTGGAGGAATCACGGCATTAGGAGAATTGGGCTTGAGAAATAAACGACACCATCATGCGAAACACTCGTGAATACTGTACGTTTCAGGCTTTTATTCTGAAAGGTAAAGACGAGGATCTGCTCTGCTCTGTCTTCGTCAAGGTTGAAAGGACTAATAAAGTTTTCTGTCTTGGTTCAGACTACAAAGCCTCTGTTGTTTCATTAATGTAATGTTGACTCGTTCCGCACGACGTGATTGGTTGATGCCTTTATGATGCGGTGCGGAAAGCTCAGAAAAAAAATAGTAAGCAGCTTTTTCGCTGCTTAATATTTACGTTATGTGTAAAAAATACTTATTCATCAACAGTTACAAAAGTTGATTTACGTGCAAATTAATCGGCTGAAAAATGTCCCCCTCTGAATCTGGAGACACTTTTACATGAAGGTCTTCTAGGAGAGACGGTCTGAAGATATGCCTCCCCTCCTCTTTCAGAGGTTAAGTCTGCAGGAAGTTGACTTTCTTTCTTTCTTGTTGCAGTGAAGAACAAGATTGTGTATCGAACCAGCGCCTGTATCAAGATGCAGAAGACGGTTCGGATGTGGCTCTGCAGGAAGAAGCACAAACCTCGGTGAGTGAACATTCTTTATCCTTCTTCTTCATCTTCTTCTGATTCTTCTTCTTCTTCTACTTCCCCCCCCCCCACTAGGCCTTTCTCTATTTCTCCTCCCTTCCTCATGTTTACAGATTGTAAAGCCCTCTGAGGCCAATTTATGATTTTGGTCTGTACAAAATGAATTGAATTTTATTTCCTTCCTTCCTACATACCTGCTCTCCTCCCTCCCTCCGTGCTACCTCATCTTTTACTTTCCATCCTTTCCTCATCCTCCATATTTTTTCCGTCGTCCTCCCATCCCTCTTCCTCTCCTCCTTCCCTTTCTTGTCCTCTCCTGTCCTCCATATTTCCAGCCACTCCATCCTCTCTCTACCTCTCTCTATCTTCTACAAATCCTCTCTCTCCTTCTCTCCCTTCTTTCCTCCTGTCCATCCTCAGTCCTTCCCCCTTTTCGTACTAATCCTTCAACCTCTCATTTCCCTTCTGTCCCACCTTCCATCATTTCCCTTCCTCCTCACCTTCCTTCCCTTCCTCATTACATGCATCTCCTTCTTGCTCTCTCTCCCTGCCTCACTCCCTCATCCTCCTCTTATTCTTCATTATCTGCCACTTTCACAGCTCAGCAGTGTCTGCCTGGCACACACACACACACACACACCTGGTGACACATGCAGCTCTGCTTATTACCTCCGATATTTGGCGATAAACAGCAGAGACCCGGGGGGGGGGCAGGTGGGAGGAAAGATGAAGTATTCAGGTGAAGAAGTGATTTCTCTTCCTCCTCTGCAGGGGTTTTTAGTCTGATCTGGCAACCTGCAGGTTTCTGCTAACAGGATGTGTGATTGTGTGCGCTGCTGATTACAGGGGGGGGGGCTGTTAATGAGGGGGGCGGAGATTCAGATTTAGTCAAACAACGTGAAACTACACTCAGCTAGAGCAGATGTGAAGCAAAGTTATTGTTTTTGCAAATTAAATGTTTTTGCATGTGAAGTCCAAGTTCTGTGCCAGGTCCTGAACTTCCTGTTTTTATTCCTAAAATAATGTGTGTTCTTCTCCAGAACATAAATCTAAATATTGGATAAAACCAGGTTCAATATTCTTGTTTCATATCCCTTTGTTTCACTCCATCAGCAAATACTGTCAACAGACATTTCCTCCATGCTTTTAATAATAAAGGTATAAATGATGTGTGAACAAACCCCTCTGTGTTAACCTTCAGCACACAGAGAGGAATGAAAGAGTAAAGTTTGGTGTATATAAGAGCTGCTGAAGTGGAGATTTCTGGATCAGAGTCTGAGAGAAACAACAACTCATCTTCTTCTGTCAATCATTCTTCTGTGTTTTAAAGTAAAAAGCCCCAAATACCAACAAGTAATGATGCCTTCAGGTTCATGTTACTCTCACCTTAAAGGTCTCTGGAGATTCTCCCTGAAATCACACGCTTGTTTGGGGCACAGGATGGCAATAAGGATGTTGTTGTTACTAACTGTGTGTGTGTGTGTGTGTGTGTGTGTGTGTGTGTGTGTGTGTGTGTTTCAGGATCGACGGGTTGGTGAAGGTGCGTAACCTGAAGAAGAGGATGGGTCGCTTCAACGAGGTGGTGGCCGGGCTGAAGGAGGGCAAGCAGGAGATGAGCAAGCAGATCCAGGGTCTGGAGACCGCCATCGACTCCCTGATGGTCCAGATCAAGGTGGGGGAGACGGACGGTTTGACAGACGGCGGCCATTATTATTATTATTCATCTATGAATTTCTCCATAAAGCCTGAATTCCTCCTCGGCCTTTGTTGTGCTGCCTGCTGTGACGGACGCAGACATGTGAGGGGTTTTGTTTCCTCAAAAGAAAAATAGGATTTCAACCCGTTCTGACAAGAGTTCCGCCTCCTCTCGCTGAATGATGGGCAGCATGAAATTAAACTGCACGCCGGAGCAGTTTGACAGACAGCTGGTGCTGTGAGACGGAACGAGAACAGATTTGATCCCCAGGAATTTTATATATATATATATATATATATCTCTATCTCTATCTCTATCTATCTCTAGATATATATATATATCTCTATCTCTATCTCTATCTCTAGATATATATATATAT